AGGCCGCGATGAGCCCTCCCCTCAGTCTCCTCTTCTCTAGGCTGAACAAACCAAGGGACTTCAGCCTCTCCTCATATGACTTCCCCTCTAGATCCTTCACCATCTTTGTTGCCCTCCTCTGGACACTCTCCATAGTTTTGTGTCCTTCTTGTACTGCGGCACCCGAAACCGCATGCAGTACTCGAGGTGAGGCCGCACCAACGCAGTGTACTGTGGGACAATCTTACATCAGTAAGATCCTCTGGGCTGTCTCTTCTCCAGGCTGAACACTCCCAGCTCTCTCAGCCTCTTCTCATAGGAGAGATGCTGCAGTCCCTTCAGCATCTTTGTGGCTCTTCACTGGACTCTTTCCAGTATGTCCATGTCTCTCTCATACTGGGGAGCCCAGAACTGGACACAGCACTCCAGGTGTGGCCTCACCAGTGTTGAGTAGAAGGGCAGGACCACCTCCCTTAAACTGCTGACAACACTCTTCCTAACACAGCCCAGGATACCATTCGCCTTTGTTGCGACAAGGGCACATTGCTGGCTCATGGTCAACTTGGTGCCCACCAGAACCCCCAGGTCCTTTTGTGTCAAGCTCCTTTCAAGCTGGGCGGCCCCCAGCCTGTCCTGGTGCCTGGGGTTGTTCCTCCCAGGAGCAGGACTTCACACTGCCCTGTGTTGAAGTTCCTCAGGTCCCTGTCAGTCCATTTCTCTAGCCTGTTGAGGTCCCTCTGGATGGCAGCACAACCCTCTGGTGCATCAGCCACTCCTCCCAATTTTGTGTCAGCAGCAGCCCTTCACTCTGCCCCATCAGCCAGATCATTATTGAAGATGTTAAACAAGACTGGACCCACAAGTGACCCCTGGGATACTTCCCTAGTTACTAGCCTCCAAATAGTCTTCCTTCTACTGATCACCACCCTCTGGGCCTGACAAGTGGCTTAGAGACTATCTAAACACTTAACGCTCAAAGCCTTTAGTTTTTTTTAGCATCAAGTGAAGAAAGACCAATGTTCCTATATATGTATTATTTTCTGCTGAGATACAAAACCAGTTCAGTGGAGTTAAACAGCAGGGCTAAGTCAGGTCTTTTTTGCAGCACACAAGTCTCCAGGCTGCTTCCTTATTCCCTTAGTTGGCTGGGTCTCCTTTTGTTTAACTGTTTGAACACTAGCGCGAGGCGGCCAGCTACAGCGCTGATGCACAGAGTAGTTCAGACTTGCTAAGCTGGCCTTATTTCAGTGAAAACAATGGAAGGTGCCCTAGCTTGTTCTGACGTCTATCATTTGTTTCTGTTTATCATGCAAAACAAGTAACTGCTGGCACTCCACAGTTGTCAGACAAGGGGCTCGTGCAACAAACATCTATTATAAGTGAGGGGGTTTTGGGGGATTTTTTTTGTTGTTGTTTGGGGTTTTTTTTATATATAGTTAAGTAGCTAATATCTCCTGCTTACAATGAAGCCCAAACTGTAAAATTACTATGTAAAACTCTGTGAAGGTTTTGTATACCTAAATACAAATATCAGATGGATCACAAACCTAATGCTATATATTTATATAGCATTTTGTGTCATGTGAATTCTTTGTCCTTTATCTGGATAGTTGGAGTTAACATTGCAGTGACCAAACTAGAGGCAAGAAACCCTCCTGCCAAATATTCTCAAGAAAAAATGCTGAAGCTCAACCTGAGCTCTGCATGCAGAATTCACTTCCTAAATCAAGAAATGCATAAAAGAGAGTGGAGACAAGCAAAAAGAAAGGCACAGAGATCCTGACCGCTGATTGCTCTGTCCAATTCTACTGAAAGGCAGCTCAGACTTGCTGTATGCTAGGCAAATGAACCTAAACTGATTTGGAAAGAGCTAATTAACAAAAATGTGAATAATCCAGATTTTGATTATTTCAACACATTAGTAAATTACAGTTTTCCCCCAAAATTTAAAATTAGTATTACAAGGGAACAATGGCAAAAACGCACCAACAACCAGACTCATTAGCAGCTTGAAAAATTCTGCAGCTCTTGAATGTAGTTAGCACGTACCTTACTCAGCTCTGGAAAGAGTTCTTGGATCCCAATGTCCAGCAGAACATAAGTTAACTAAAAGAAAACAAAGCAAATTAAGAACACTCCAAGGCGGCACTACTGGTTTTTATTTTTAACTCCGAATTAGAGCTCACTCCCTTGCTATAGCAATACATTCACTTCAGGAAATCCTGTACCAAAAGGCAAGTTTCTCATGTGCTGCAAGTTACCTGTTTGTTGAGCACTGGTTGCTGCATTCCATCAAACAGAAGCCTGATGCCTTCGTATTTAGCCTCTTCCCCAATGCACTTGCCTATTAAATCTAAACCAGACACCACCAACAAATACACAAGTCATTAGGAAGCACTGCAAAACAGCTATATGATACAGTTATAGAACTCCAGTAATTAAAAAAAAAAAGTTTAAATTAAAGAAAGAGTTCAAATTTTATCTATCTAAAGCAGTAAATGGAAAAAATAACACTCTTTTGGTTCCTCCTTTTTTCCTCCCTTTCTTTCAGGGCTGCACACCTGAGTAATTATTACTTTTCATAATATCAACTTTTCATAATAAACAATGAATTGTTTAATAAACGACAAGCTGAAGTTTTTAAACTACTTTCTGAACAACCTAGCAAACAGGGCCCTCTTTCCTAGTTTATTCAGTGTAAGGAGAGCTCAGATTTATCTTCTGGCTTCATGGTGTGCCTTTTTTAACCCAGTTTTCATCTCGATAAAATACAAGCTATAGAAATGTTCTAAAGGTGAAGAAATTTACATTTGTAAAGCTCTTTAATTCCATCGTGTCTTCACTAATGACTGTGCCACAACCTTAGTCAGCAACACTTAAGTGACGAAACTGAACTCCTGGGTTTTTACACCTAGTATTCTAGTCAACTCAAATCTCAGTAGCGTAAGCATTATTTGATTTGGAAAGCTAATGTGACTGTATTTGGGTTATACATCTGCTTGAACAATTAACCATACTCATATAGAGAGTCATGAAATACAGAACCTGGAATGTATCTCATCATTTCTTCAAAAGTCTGCTTTGCTCGCTTCTGTTTATCCTGGAGAGAGCGAGGTTCAGTATTCTCACAGAACACAGCATCTGCAGTGAAGACACATGGAAAAGAGAAAAAAAAAAAGTCTTCAGGCAGCTATACATCACTGACGTATAAAACGCGGTTTGGATTATGGCTTCGAAGTTGAGTTGCTTTTCTGTACGATCTTGACTGGAAGGGAATTCTAGCTTTGCCAGATAATAGTCTTTTGCCTACAATAGCCTGATTGAATCCAGAACACCCCACCTGTGTGGAGGACAATCTTTTGCCAATTTGTTTCCATTCTATTCAAATTTTTAAAGCATTATTTTCTGGGTTTGGATCAATTCTACTTCAGGTTAGTTATGATCTCCTTACTTACAATTTCCCTTACACTTTCAGAACTATAAGCGGTATTTATACCTTGTGCTAAAACACTGGAACTGTCAAAAATTTCAGATTTATCTGTGCATGAAAAAACAAGAATTGCTGTTTATCAGAAACATTAGGCACTCAGTTTTGGTTTTAGGCTCTGAAAGATTTACTCCTTTCTTTGTTTGTCTTTCACAAGCTTTCTTTTTGGTTTGATAAGGACAGAGCTGTCTTGATTCCAGAGCTTTGGCCAGATGTGTTGTTTAGATCAGACTGTAGTCAGATAATACTTCTCTACAGCTGTGACATCAGTTTTAAATTTTTTTTTTAACCTCTCTCCCCTTCCCTTATTTGAAGGTCAAGAACACTCAAGCCCTCTCAAAAGCCCACCACAACAAAGGGAACAAAAAAATTAACAATAAAGGGTTGTGATGCAGCACACAAGTGAAAAGTAATTTAAAGATTGCAGGAAATATTCAAGCTCTGATATACTAAACTGCCTTTATCCTGTTTTTCTTGTTCTTTGCACACCTTAGCAAATTACTATTCATACTTTTTTTCTGTAATCATCACTGACAGACAACATGGCTGACTCAGCATCTTTCTGCAATAAGCTTTTGGAATCTTTTTAATAGGCCAACTTGATTTTTTTTTAAGACTCCTTTAGCTTTAATCAAGCATTGCAAAGTTTAGTACTTGGAATTTTAAAAGAAAGGATTTCAAATATCAAACTAAAGTAGTATTTTCACATCAAAGATGTGTCTTTTACTAACCTCTCAGCAGTGTTATCAGAGAAACCAACCGGTGCTCCTGAAATAGCTGTTCTAACTTATAATGCAAGTAATAGTCAGTGTATAGTTCCAATGTATTTTTGAAGAGAATTCTTCCTCCCATCAAGAGGTGATGCAGCCAGTCAGGAATGCGGAAAACTACTCGACCTGCAAAGTTACAGTAACACCCATTTATAATGTTCTCCTAATAATGATGATAAAGGAGTCACTTATTCAAAAGAAAAAAAAAGAACAAAAGGATTGCAAACCAGCAAATATTAGTCTTCTAAGTACAATGCTGAAAAATCACTATTCTCCAGGCTGCTTATCAAATACTTCCTTTAAGTTTTTTTATTAATTAGCTCCCACCCAGAGTGTACAAGCAGCCTAGGCACACCTGAGAAAAGGGAAAGATCCTACTCCCATAAACTCATACTCTGAGATGCAGAAAGAAAGAGATATAACAAAACACCTGAGCAATAACGAATGATAAATTATGATATTTTCGCACCGCAGTAAAGTTTTTTAAAGACTTTTAAAGTTGTATATTGTTAAGCTTGCAAAGTGCTGAATTATCTGTGATTACTACACCAGAATTTTATTTCTTACCAAAGGACCAAAACTTCCTATTTGGCATGAAGTATAAGAATAATGAAGAGAAATCACTTCTTACCAACATACATTAAGTAGTCATACACTCCTTCTACAGTCATCATTTCCATGAAGTAGTTCTGATTTTGTCGTCTTTCTGTATTCTCAGACCGGTTTGCATTATTCTTGAATAAATCATTGAAAAGCTAAAAATAGAAACATAAGACTGAAAACACTGCATTCAAAGGCAAAAGTTCTTTGGGTTGGGTTTTTTGTGGGTTTGTGGTGGGTTTTTTTAATTAAAAGTAGCTTTTTTCAGAGCTTTCAAAGAATTAATCAGTTTTGCATTACTAAAAAAAAAAAAAAAAAAAAATTAAAACTCTTTACTTTCCAAAGGGAGGAAAAACAATAAAGAGCATGTCACATGTTTCCAAGATGTCAACAACCAAAATACCTGGATTCAGAACAAATCAGCACGGTGATCAAGACAATAATTCGTGAGCCCTTTTGCTCCCAATACCTTCATGTACCTAGACATTTATCACGGGCTTTGATTCCTTTTGATGCATCTCATTCTGTCAATGAGGAGCATAAAGGATACAGAGTTTGTCAGCCTTAAGTCACAGGGGAACCCTACGACATCCAAGTGTTCCTAAAATTTCCTTTTGGCTTCTATTTTGAAATAAATACCATGGTTTCTGGACAAAATATCCAACTTTTTACACAGAGAAATCCCTTTTCCTCCTGCCATCTTGATTATTTATAGCAAAAGTTTCAGAAATCTTTGTAAATTACCTTTTCCATTTATCCCATTTCTCATTTTATTCCTTTATCCTTCTATTTTCTCCTGTTCCCCACCCCCACGATCCCTCCATTTCCTTGCCTTTGGTTCTTCCCTAAAGATAATATTTGTAAAATCCCAAGAGGCTCTTCCCTGCATTCTGTCAGGATTCCCACACCACCACGGCAGGACTCTCCTCCCCCCACCAAGTCCATGGGCTCCAGCAGCTGCAAAGGAGGAGTTCTCTGAATCCTGAAGCTCTTCACATTTGACAATATCTAGCAATCACCATTAACAGTTTATTTTAGATTATTTTATCCCCAAAACTGTTGATCAAAAGATAAAAAAGAATTTATACAAAATACTCTGTATTATGAAAAGAAAGTTCAAAAGTTTATACCAAGCTTCTAAAAAAAATATCCCAGAACTAGAAGCAAATGCAATGTAATTGTAGTGTTGCCTAAGTTGAGATGATTGCTACTGACACAGATTTTTCTGTATCACTCCCAAATTAAAAATAGTTCCAAGGAATGGGAAGTAATTTGCTTCTATGTGGTTCACTTTGTGTAGAGCAATTATTCCTGAAGTAAATAAGGTCAAATCACAACAGGTTCTGAATCATGCAAGTCTCTAAACAAAACACTCTGCACTCTTAGAAAAAATTACATAAGGAAATCGGGTAAGACTCAGGTTTTGACTTGTGCTTCTTTAGGTCCTCTCTTTTGTTAAGAGCTGAACTGCTGGCATTATCTTCACAAAGTTCACTCAAATTAAACAACGCCAAATTACTACATAAATTACATGAAAGAGCATATATGGTTAATGCACTGGTGGATGACTGGTATCCAGAAGAGTAACAAACCTGAAAAGAACACATAATTATTCACGCCTACTGTATGCAAGCGTCCCTGGTATGTTGTTTAAAAAACCTTGTATAAACTGAAGTCTATATCCTCCTCAATACCGAAACGAGGACACTGGGAAAATCTTAGTTGAATTATTGCAACTTAAACAAGAGCCTCATTCATTTTTTAGATACATCTCACGTCCTGACAGAGGCAATACAAACTGAGCCAACTCAAAGCAGCCTATTGTGCATGTACAGGACAAACTAAATCATTAACAGCAGTCTGGTAGGTGATCTATTTAAAAAAGAAAAAAAAACACAAAACCCCACGAAACATGAAGGCCATCTTAAGGCAAAGCTTTTTGACTTCCAAAAGTTACTTCAACTGTCGCCTCAAACCAGAAGCAGTGTATTTTGAACATTGTACTTACCTCTGCACATGGATAATCTGTCTGGCATCTTAAATATAATGGTTCCTTGATCAATGTCAACCTTTGAAAGCTTAGACTCTTGCACACGACATTTCAGAAAGCAACAGCAGATCAATGTGTGCCAAAATTACTGAGCCAATGAGCAGTTTTTATAAAGTATACACTTTGCACTATTCCAGTGCAAGTGTGTATTTTACAGTCATTAGCAATTCACATCTGAAGGATGCAGCGGTCGTGACATGAAGCGGCGTTACAGTTCTACTTAGAAGGTGCTTTGCACTTTCCAGGATGTTGGCTCAGAGGAAAGCCAAGTGAAAAACATGGAATTGGATATCTAATACAAAAGTTGAGATTATATTCACAATTCAGATAAGCACGGAATTTTGCTTTTAAATGTTTCTGCGCATGTTAAAATTCAAGATGTGATATAATGCTCATAACTGTGATTATAACAGTCTTTAAAAGCTTTCAATGAGGAAATTGCACAGATTGGTACTGGATAATAATGGAAGCCGAGCTCTTGAAGCAAGTGAAAGATAAAAGGCCTGTATTATGAAAAAGACCAAAGTAATCCCTGGTACAATCGGCTATCTATTCTACCTCAATGGAAAAAGCAAGCAAAATAAGTATGAATGCTTTCATAAAGTGTCTCATAGAAAAAAGAAAGTCACTTAATGGTGAGTGCATATGCAAATATATGCCTATATGTTCCAGCATAGGTATGAAGTTTATAGAAGCAATACTACGATTATGAACAATATCCACAGCCAAGAGGCATGAACCTCTCCACCTTTTTACCTGCTCATTTGCAAAGTACAGATAACTCTACCAAAATGGTAAGAAGAAAGAATGTATGTAGTGTCTGAACCACATCAGTTAACGTATTGAAAAGCAACCATGTCTTCCTCCAAGTAACTATGCATAAACATACATTATACTGTTGGGTGTTGCAAAAGCAGGTTTTATTGCTGTTGCCAGCAGAACAATGTCTTTGTGGGCATATTCTGCTAAGTCTGCATCTGCTGAGAAGTCCCGATCTATTCTAGCAAGTCTGATGAAAGTATGTTCGGAAGACGATCGAGCTGCTTACAGACCTTCCAAACAGAAACACAGCTGGGAAAGCCAGAAATCCTGTTGGCACCCGTCAGAGGGGAGAGCAGGGCTTCTTGTTCATTTATTTGTTTTAACCAGGGAGGTTGGTAACTCTTTCAATCTGGTGGATCTGATACAAGATAGAACCCAATTGCTACTGGCTGTCCTAAGGTTCACTACCCATGTTCATTATGCATTTGTAACTAGAAGTCTTTCCACCAATATTTAAAACATATAGCCATACACACATACCAGGAATATTCAAAAGGAAGCAGCATACAGAAAATCTTTAACAGAAGCAGGCACATTTCTGATTGAACTAAAGTTTCCACCTGCCCTGACAGTCTTTCAGGCATTTCTCATTCAGCCTGTTGATGAAAAGGTAGCCTGGGTGTACCCTATTCACAGCAAAAGAGTTGGCAGCACAAGCACTGGGGAATGCGTATTGTTCTCTCAGCAGATTCCAACATGTTGATACTAGAATAAACACATCTGCGTCAGACAAGATATATGGGAACACTGTGGCAATATGAGCATCAGCTGGAAATCGACTCTAGCATTTACCAAAAAATTCTGTGTTGAACATTCTCGCTATGAGATAACATGTTCTTCTCACAGATGGGCACTCAGAAAGCACCGACCTTCTGTCTCTTTAGCTGCCTGCCAGCTCTCCTCACTGACTCCATACAGGTGGCTCACAGAATCCTGGTACAGGCATTTAGCATTCATCTCCATCACCAGGACGTAAGGGTGCCACACTACTGCGCAGTGCTTACACCTTCATGAAGATGTCGTGTGGCACAACAGAAGTAAAATTGCAGAATCAAACAACTGAAGTCTATGCCACATGTATTTGCCGGGGGGTAGAGAGGAGTGTTACCTCGGTCTGGCCTTTGGACTGAACACCCTTGGTGCCTGCATTCCTAGACAGTGTTTTCCAGCTTAATTTCATCTGAAATAAATTCAGTTAATGAGTTCTAAGACAGCTCACTAGTATGAGAGAAAACATGATAAGCAGAGATGATCAAGTGATTTGCTTCCAAAAAGCATCACTGATCTGAACTAAAATGGTCTGAAAGACGAAACCGGTGTGGCTTACAAATCAAATCCAAGAAGTGACAAGATGTAAATGGCACAGTGTCCTGGCACCTGGTACAAAGCTTTTTCCCAAACGTGGGCTGACTTGAAAAAACTGTCTAGCAAAAAATGCACAAGCACCCCAACAAATCAGCAAGAGGGATGAATTTCACAATGTGCTTGGGAAGACTCAGCAGAGACCGTAACACACCTGAGATATCAGATCTCTAATAATTACAGTGTATGTGCACTCTGGCTAAACAGATAGATGGGAAATTAGTGAGAAAGCAGTCAGCACATTAATTCCTTAGGCATACATGCCCCGGCTGGTCAAAATTATAATTTGAGCACAGAGACTGAGTATCTGATCATAGAACTGTCTTGCAGCATCCCTCGAGATAAAGTGTCTTGAGTACCCATCATTAAATAAAAATCAGGAGATACACTGAAGTCTGAAACTTTCCATCCATTTACAGCAAATGGCTCCCCAAAACAAAACAGATTTCTTTTGGGAAAGAAAAAAAAAATCTAAAATATATGCAGAACCAATCACTTATACATAAAACAGCTAACTAGAATAACGTTGCTTAGAAAAACAGTGAATTCACTCTCAAAATAGACAATGAGAAGGAATGGAGAGCTGGGACTAGCCTCATCTGTTTTGCTCTCTGCACAGAAACTCATGACAAAAGCACCTCCTACAGGGTAATCAGCAGTAGGAGCAATGACTCCAACCTGGACTCCACAAACTTGTGTCTCCAATGGAGCGCACACATAGACAGTTAGTCACTGTGATATGGAGGTTTGCCCCACAACGCTATTTCTGAAAATGGCATTAGAAAACAGAAGGCAGTAAAGATCTACATTTTGTTTAAGGTAACTTCAGTATTCCAAAATGAAAAGCAAAATGCAGCCAGCTCTTTGCTTTCCCGAGATCATCACAGTTGAAAAGAGTTGGAAAAACCTCGTTTCAGAGCCTGAAATTTCTGTATACATGTTCCTTTACAAGAATAACATACTGACTTTTCAGAGTTTGCATTTTAACTAAGCAATGCTAACAGTTTTTAAATCTTCTACAATCCAAATGGTTTTGAACACCACTTTAAAGAATTCATTTTGATAAAGTTTAATAAAGTTTTTCAAGCAAACTACAGAAAGAACCCTATCTTCACAGGAATGCTTCAGAGTGCAAAACTTGTTGTTCAAACATTTTAGTTAAATATGTTAAATGTATTAAAACTACTAACTTCAGTAGTTCTTGACAGATGATAATTAAAAAAATTAACTGATTGTTCATACTATGCTGTAGGATGCTGTCAGCTGGTTTATAAAACACATTTGAAGTATTTATGTATATACTGTTTCCAGCACAAGTCAAAACCTCTAGATCTGATATTTAAAACTACTGATATATTTATACCCCTCTGAATAGACAGCAATAGCAAAATATCTTAACCTTGGTAACAGTGCCCAAGGTAAGGACTTGAAATGACGGATACTAATTTTGTGTGTGTACACATGTAAGCTAACACTACAATATTGGCTGTAGTAATTCAGACTTCAGGTTTAGAAGATGAAATCTAAACAAATTAATAGATTTAACTGCCATTGTACTTAATCAGTACAAAAGTTTTGTAGCTGCAAGTTCTGTAAGTGTCATAATACTATAAAAATGTCTACAGTGAGGGAAATCAAAAGGTCCACTTTTTTAACAGCCCATCACCAACAAGAACCATAAACGGATCCTGGGCTTCTAGCTCTTGCAAGAAGAGAATGGGCATAGACAGTGCTTTTCACCAATACTCTTTCAGTCTCCAATTGTTTTCAACTGAAAAAAAAGTTCAAGAGCTGGATACAGTTTCTCTACAGGTATTCACCCTGAATATATTTCCTTTTTTTGTGAATTTCTCCAGTCTCACTTTATAGTTATTTAAACTTATACAGTATTCACAACATCTTTTGGCAAGGAGTTCCACAAGTCTACTAACCACTGCAAGAGTTACCACTTTTTGTTTTGAACCTGGCTCCTACCACCTTCATTTAATGCCTCTTATTTTTTTGCACTAGGAGATAGAAGGGAAAAACCCCCGATGTATCCCCTGCCCTCTCAGGCTATGCATTATTCTTTAGGCTATCACACATCTCCAATTTATCGCTTTGCAAAGTGAAGTGTCCTGGCTTACATAGTCCAGTTTCAACTCCTCTTCCCAAAGTTAGAAGAAGATAGAAGAAAAGCATGTAATACTGAATTTTCTTTTAGAACCTCTCACACAGCAAAGTCAATGTACATGAAATATTTTGTCCCAAATCACATCAACTCCGTAACACTGAGTTGGGGGTCTCTGAAATCCTAGTCCAGAAACAATATGCCTCTGTAAATTCAACAAATACATTAACACTCTAAAGCAATATAATATATAACCAGTGTCTTTTTAAAGTCCCTGAAGCTAACGGAAGTCTTTCAAGTAAGTTTTACCAGTCTCTAGATACAAGATTAGGCTGAGAGAGTTGGGACTGTTCAGCCTGGAGAGAAGGCGGCTCTGGGGAGATCTAATTGCGGCTTACCAGTACCTGAAGGGGCCTACAGGAAAGATGGTGAGGGACTGTTTATCAGGGAGTGTAGTGACAGGACAAGGGGTAATGGGTTCAAGCTGAAGGAGGGTCAATTTAGATTAGGTATAAGGAAAAAATACTGTGAGGGTGTTGAGGCACTGGAACAGGTTGCCCAGAGAGGTTGTGGATGCCCCCTCCCTGGAAGAGTTCAAGGCCAGGTTGGATGGGGCTTTGGGCAACGTGGTCTAGTGGAGGGTGTCCCTGCTCATAGCAGGGGGGTTGGAACTAGATGATCTTTAAGGTCCCTTCCAATCCAAACCATTCTAGGATTCTATGATTATTAAGAAAGGGACTACCTTTTCCTATTGTCAAATAAAAGGTTAAAATTGGAAGTATTGGGCTTTAGCTGTGGCAATGTTGGAGACAGAAACTACAGTTGTTATATAGTTAACCTATTATATATGCCAACATCAATGAACTGTATACTAATGTTTTAAAGGCAGATAAACAGGTATCAGCACCTTTACAATTTTGGCTTGTAGCACTTTGGCAAGCCACACATTTGTCAAACACTCAAGCTTGTCTCACTTCTAAAAGTACGTTGCCTTATGGTATGAAAACATTCCCCGTTTTACATCTCTGCTTCCCCTCTTCTTCTCTCTGTACTTCCCAGGCTGTCTACTCTGTATCCTCATCTCCAAATCCAGTAAGAATTTAAAAAGAAAACACCACACAAACAAACCAAAACCAACCAACAACCAACCCTCAAAAGTAATTCAGACTAAGAAATTTACAAGACAGAAGAGGACAAAAGTCCCTGCACTATCATTCTCTTTCTGTTATATTTATGGTTTTTTCTTGTTTATTCTTTGCATTTTCAGAGTATGGTCATTTTTCCCCACTCCTGTAAAGTGGAGAAGGAAGATGACTTACTGTACCTTCTTGTTGTTTTCAGAAGTGGGACTCAAAATGGTAAGTTCAGGCCTACTTGGTTTAGGCTTGGGAGATTCACAGGAGTTGATAAAATTCATGATGAATGGCTCCAAATGCTGACCTTTCTGAAATAAGATAAGTGACCTGTCACTTGCATAATTATAGAAAAAATAAAACTCAAACAAAAACCTGAGTTTCCACACAAAATTCTGACTAGCCTGTAAGTTAGTAGCACATAAAATTAGCCATTGAGGTTAAAATGTTGGCAACCTGGAAGATTTACTCACCTCTTTCATCAGCTTTCCTGGAACAGATTTTATAATTTTACCTATAATTAGAAACAAACAAAAACTTTCTGTTACTACTGCCTAATCTTAAAGACATTTTGCTCTGCTACATTTTATGTACTCATTGTCTAGTATTTAAGTTAAAAATAAAATAGTTTTTTAAATCTGTATTTTTTTAATTTGGCACAAAAAGTTAAGTTCCACATATCTAACATATAACAATGCTTAGTACTTTTCAAGAAAAGATACTTAAAATATGAAAAATATACAGATGATTATGCGATTTTTTTTTAAAAAAAGCAAAGTACCCTAGGTCTGCCTTTGTAAATTTTCTAGAGGCTCAAACATAAACAGGTATAGCACCACAACACCAGTACTATATGACACCAGCATAGGCACAATTTTCTGTATCTAAGTTCTTCATCTCCTCTTTCCC